TGCCATGGCCTGTTATCCTACCTGCTCCGCCGGTATTCCTCGTCCCTCTGGCACCACCTTGGGCAAGCATCCATCTTACATCCACCTTCCATGCCAGCCAAGCACTCCTGTCTCCAAGTCCTGTCTCTGCTACCACCTGTCATCCCCTCAGCTCACCCTCAGCCTGCCATCACCTATGTGGGTTCGCATTGGGTCTTCCAGTCACCAGCTCCGCTTGATGACGGGATGAGGATCCCCTGTCTCTACCTCCAACCACTGGATCCCTGACTCCACCTCAGCCCAGCAACCCATCGACTCCACCGGCTCCGTCACAGGAGGTCGCTCCCCTGGCTTCTCCTCCCAGGACACCACCATGGCTCCTCCTTCCTGTGACTCCACCTCGGGCCTCCTTCCTGGCTGGGCTCTGGACCTCCACCTTTCCGTTCCTCCTACTCCCGCCTGTTCCCTGGCTCCTTTCTCCATCGTTGCCTTCCTGGCTGGGCTCTGGACCTCCACCTTTCGGTTCCTCCTACTCTCGCCTGTTCCCTGGCTCCTTCCTCCATCGTTGCCCCCCTGGTCCTGCTTGCTCCATTCTCCATCCCTCCATCTCCTGTCCTCTGTCCATGGTCGCCATGCTTTCGCTCACTACTGTCTTTTTTCATGGACTCTCCGGAACTCAAGGTCACACCTTCCAGGAGGGGGCATTCTATCATGGTTTCTGTTTTGTTGGTTTTTCATTCTAGCCCTGTGACCTAGTTTCCCCTTGTGTGTCTGATTAGTCATCATTTGCACCTGTTTAGTTAAATTATTTTGTTAGTTTCCGTATTTAAACGTTGTGTTCTTCCCCAGTGTTTGTCCGGTCTCTTTGCTGTTGTGGACTTATATTGACCTTCAGTGTGTTTTGGGAATTCATTAAAGACTCCTACTCTTTATCTTTGTCTTCAGCCCTTCATACATCCCACATTTCTGACAGACAGAATTTGACCACTAAATTTATAAAAATAATTGTAATTTTAAGAAGTGTTACAATTAAACGAGTAAGGTTAAAAGTAATCAATAAGTAGTCGGATTATATCAGGGGTTTTCAACCCTAGGGGGGCGCCAGCACCTGTCAAGGGGGGCACGAGCATTAGTTAATTTAGAGACATTCTCTTGAGAAATTATGAATATGAGTTAACAAATCTTTAGCCATCCACTAGGGGGCAATCTGACTCCCACTGCTAGTCGACAGTTAGAGCAGAGTTGGCTCGAGTATCAGTCACGCTCAGTGTTGCCAAGTCCGCGGTTTTCCCGTGGAATTGGGCTACTTTAACACTTGCCGCGTTTTGTAGTTTTGGGCTAGTTTTGAGTAGCAATTAGGAGGGTTTTGTTGTGAAAACCTGGCAACCCTGGTCAGTCTTATTGACTGTGTAATATGATTTACAATTAGCCGTGTCAGAAATCCAACCAAGGATTGGCATGTTGTTATCTCAGAAACAGGCTCAGCCATCACATTGAATCAGGTAAACTGGTTATATATTTATGTTTCAGTATAATTACGCACGCTATACCAGGGGTGGTTCTAAGCCCTTTTTAGGTGGGTTTCAGCCCCCATATCTGTCACCTTAGCCCCCCAAAACTATCTTAACGATCAGGCCAGTGCTGCTTCCTCGAGAAAGTTTTTAATTCTCACGTGTTTTAAGTCTTGTCAGTTTATTTAAATTAGACCAACTTGGGGGGGCGCATGTCCTAAAAGGTTGAAAACCCCTGGATTATATCATCTAAAGTGTGTAATGTATTGTTACTTAATACAATTTTTGCCATGCAATTTGGAATCAGTAACATGTTACAATTGGCAAGTAATCTACCCAGCACTGCGTCTGGATTACTATTGAAATTACTGGATTTTGACTATCATCATACAAATTCGTCATACAAAAGTAAAAGTGTGATCACACTTAGTCAGGTTTGAAGCCATATTGAATTTAACGAGGATGAAATGGCACATACTGTATAAAGGTCCTAGATCATACAACTCAAATTTTAAAACTATTTTATGGAGTTTTTGTGTACAGAAAGTTTTTTATTTATGTAAGGACATTTGCTCAGCTGACCGTTGTTAAACAACAGTACAATCCATTGATTGTATCCACAGTACTTCTATCCCTCACAGCCTCGTTTTCATTCCTGTCAAAAACTAAATATGGCGCTACCCTGACTAAGGTCTATAGACAATGGGTGCTTCTCAAACGGAAGGACACATCCTTGTAAGGCTGCATATTTAGGCTGCTACGTCATCAACCATATCAAAGGACATATCAGTTTGAAGGATCCTTAGTAGGTAGTCTTCATTTCGCATCCTTCATTTAGCCTGTTATGAAAGATGCATCAGATGTATCCTCACATCCTTCAATCACCCACAATACCTTGCACACATTCCAATTCACAAAAATTAATTAGCATGCCATGGAACTCGTAGTTTCACTGTTATGCAAAACAAAAAATAAACGATTTTTGAGGTGAAAGCATTATGCTTTTTCTTGTGATCTTTTTTTAAATGAATCACATAATGCTAAACAGTGTATAATGTAAACCACTGGGGGACCACTGATGCTTGTCATTACCTGTACTGCATTAATAGAAAGTTTTCAATATAAAGTAATCTTCAAATTATAATTTTAATAGTATTTTCGAATTTATGATGTGGCCATGAGCACTTTTTAGAGCATCTCATTTTAGCGTTTAATGCTGAGAAAGACTGTAGCCTTGAAGCCTCATAAGGACTGGACTAGGAAGGACCCATCCTCACTAGGATGCGATCTTCCATTTGAGAAATTTTGATGCATTCTGATGCATCACTTTATTTTTGATGAACTCCTAGTGCCTGTGCTACAGGACAAAATCAGTGCCGGTCCTCCCTATACGTAAAGTATGCAAGTTGCGTTGGGCCCAGGAAACACCCTTGCTCTCAAAGATGATTTAATGACTAGGGCTGTTTGATTAATAAAATGTTAGGTTAATTTTTGATTTGGGCTTCCAACGATTATGAAAACACTATGTCGCATGCCGTTTCTTTCCTTTAAAGCAGTGTGCTGTCGCTCTTCCTACATAACATCCAAATCAGTTAAGTTATTTAATGTTACTGTTATACAGTCTCCTGCCGGATGTGTTTAAAGGGGTCATGTTTTCTGTTTTCCTTTGAACTTTCTATTCATCAGAGAATCCAGAGGAAAAAAAACTGTACACAACTGTTTTCAACATTGATGATAAAAAGAAATGTTTCTTAAGCAGCAAATCAGCATATTAAAATAATTTCTGAAGGATCACGTGACGCTGAAGACTGGCGTAATGATGCTGAAAATTCTGCTTTGATCACATGAATAAATTACATTTTAACATATATTCACTTAGCAAACAGCTATTTTAAATTGTAAAAATATTACACAATTTTACTGTTTTTACTGAATTTTGGTCAAATAAATGCAGCCTTAGTTCACAGAAATGAACTTTTATTTTTAAACATTAAAAAGCCTTGCCAATCTAAAACTTTTGAACCTTAGTGAATATTATTTTATTTTTGAAAATGTATTTTTAAGTCTTGTTCCAGACCCATCTTAAACTAAAACTATTATCAAAATATGAATTATTAAATGTTGAAACTATGATACTTTAGTTTAACATTTCTACCGAAGATTAAAATGAGAAAATTGAAAGATTAAAAATTTCAATATTTATTGTGTACACAGAAGAAAACTAAAGAACAAAGTCAAATCAATATATTGCTATGCACCATTTCCAATCAAGCTGTTAGCCAAATGTAAAAAGTGTGAAAATATCATTTTAAAAGTGTGTTCAGGAAACATATGAGTCTATAAGTCATTTCATTTTATAGAGGGTCTGCGGGAAAGTTCCGAGAAAAATTGTGTAAAAAATAAAACAAAACAAACAAAGTTTAGCAACAACAGCAACAAAAAAGAATCTTCTTTATAAAGACTGATCAGAAATCAACATTTTATATTTCTCTTTAGGTTTATACATCATTACTTAAAAATATAGAAAACATAAACAGAGTCCGTAATAGAAACTGAATATTCACCAGGTAATATTTTATAGCCTATAATTTTTGTTTTTCAAAAGTGTCTTTATATTATTTGAAAATATATAGTTCCCTTTAATGCGTCTGGCCATCAAAAAGTTTGACAACACCTGCTTTAAAATACAATACTTGACAGTCTATTCGATTTGATGGAAATAACATTGTGGTGAAAACGTTAAGAAAAAAAAGGGCTGCCTGATGTGCATATATGTAGGGAAGTACCATCCAGTAGCCCCTCACTGCAGAACACAAGGTCCAGGGGGCATGGTTGGATCCACATCTAGGGGGTGGGAGATTGGTAGGTTTAGGGGTGGAGAAGGGTGGGTTTAGGGATCAGGGGGTGGAGATTGGTAGGTTTAGGGGTGGAGACGGGTGGGTTTAGGGATCAGGGGGTGGAGACGGGTGGGTTTAGGATCGGGGTGGAGACGGGTATATGTAAAGTAGGAGGAGTTGGATCTGGATCCACGCCCCCTGGATCTTGTGTTCTGCAGTGAGGACCATCTCGTACCATCGTGAATTAAAAATGTTCTGAAGGTGAATGAAATATGCTGGAGTGTAATTCAACGTTTGACCGCTAGATGACAGACCTTCCCTTTAGCAAACAAATGCTCTGTCAATGCTCTCTCTCTCCTCCAGCAGAGGGCGCTCGTTTAGAGACGTTCTTCTCTGTTCTTTATTTTTCAGCGAATGCAATTTGAACTACACAAGAAACATTTCCATAACATGTATGCGGGTTTGACTATTGAACGTGAGCAATATTAAGCTAAAACGTTCCCGTGCTTATATTAATTTTTTGATCATGTATTATTATTAAAGGAGGGGGGGGTTTAACCATGAGTTTAACTCGCGTCCAGCTCGCTTTAAGACCTCAGTGTCCCTTTAATCTGCGGATCAGCGGCTGACGTCAGCGGACCCGCGCTCCCATTGGCTGGCGGTGACGTCAGCCGCGTTTTCCCCTACTGAACCATGAGCTCATGCTTAGTTCATTATAGTACCTAAGTACACCTTCTGTTTTCCCGGCTGGCTGATATCTGCTGTCGCTTATCTCTCCGCTCGCCGGCCCAGAGGCGACACGGCGGAATGAGGAGGTTCTGGTGGTTTATTGGCATGTGACAGCGGTCCGGACTCATGAGTAGTGTACATGGAGAGCAGCTGAGACACTCGGGAACAGGGCAAACGGAGGTGAGCGCGAGCTGTGGAAGGGGCGGACGGATGTTTGAGAGCGTGCGTGTGGCTTTATTTGATGAGAGGCGAAGAGCGCCTGTAGTTTTGGGATGGCCGGACTGGCGCGTGTCTGTCGAGCACTAGTGTCTCGTCTGGATGAGGGCAGCAGTGAGCCTCAATGTGACGGGCTGTGCTGAGAAGTCTGCATGCATTGATTGTGTGCTCATGCTTCTGTGACTAATAAGACTGCATGTTTCTCTTCTGATATGAGTGAGGCTTGTCTACTGTACACTGCAGCATGATGTACACAGATGGAGTCTGGGAGCTTTGTTATCACTTATAGTACATTTGATTTACATGGAGTTCCAGTGCATATAATACTGTCTTATTTGTTTGTTTATTTACATGAAACATCAATAACAACAACACGTTTAATATGTATTAATAACCAACAATAAACAGTTATTCATTACTATTTATAGATAGTAACATTATATTTTAATGCGCGTGATATATTGCTTATTTTGATCATGAATTATATGTTGAGCAGTAATATGATGCTATTATTGTTATTAGTAATAATATAACCTTTGGTATTAACATGAATAATGAAATAACAACAGTAAACATACTTTTTTAATATTTTGCAGTTGTGTTAATAACAAGAAAATCATTGAATTATTAAAATAGATATTAACATTATAATATATACAATATAATGAATACACACCATATGATATTATCTGTTTTGATCATTCATTATTTACAATAAAAATAATATTTTGTTGTAATAATTGTTAAATTGTAGTTATATATTCTTTTTGATTGAAAATTGATATTAACATGAATTAATCATTTGATAAAACATTAAAATGCTTATATATATATATATGTGTGTGTGTGTATATATATATATATATATGTATTAATAATAAATACAATATTTGAATTATTATAATCAATATTAACATTATAGTATATAAAATATATTGTAGTGTAAAAAAATAATGTAATTTTTCTTGAGCATTACTATTAACATTAACAATCATATTTGTTATTGTTATCAGTTGTAATAAAGCAATATAATAAAATAATAATGAATATAAAATAATATATATTATTTTATATTTACATATTTATTTTCCCCATTGATTGCTATTAACAAGAAACAATAGTAAAATAACAACAATTATATATTTTTGCCTTTTTAAAAAAAAAACAAATTAATAACCAATAGATTCTAATTATTAATAATAGATATTACCATAATATATAATACATTACAATGTATAAATTCTCTAGTATATAAATTAGCATTATTATTTCATAAAGAGTATCGTAATGCATAGATGGAAAGAAAGATAGTTAGATAGATTCTTAATAAAATAATTCGAGGAAAATATAAACTATTCATTAAATGCTGTATCAGTCTCTACAGTGGCATGTTGCAGCATGACTCCTAAGACAGGTGTGGAGACGGATGTGGCGGTTCAGGGTAATAGTGTGTGTTACTCTGACCCTGTTCAGAGCGGTAATCTCAGGCTGTCAGCGTTCAGACCCCTGCAGAGCTGAGCCAGTGCTGAGAATTACACCGGATGGAGAACTAGGGGGTTTGCGAGAGGTTGCCTGATCTTACTGAGATCTTGAGTGCTTTCTTACAATGCTTATGATTTAAGTGAGCGCACATGGTTATAGTTTGTCTCGGAAGGAAAACGTAGAAAATATTGCTGCTATATACTGATGCACTGATTTGAAATATGATCTATTCTTGTGATTTACAATTAAACTAAATCTTCATGTGCCGTAATGAAAAAGACAGATCGGCCCATGTTTAACAAATCCTGTTCCTCGCAACAGATGATATCACTGCAACAATGATTAACAAATGCATGCAGGCTCAGACAGAACAATGCTCTGCATCAGCGTGCGTATGGCACAGAGTCCAAATAAGTGATGTCATCCATACAGTTAATGAATAACCCGGATTAAGATATTTGGCTTTCCTTTTTCCTCCATTCAGCGATGTTTGTTCGCAGCTGTTCAGGTGCAGTCTGTCATTAAAAAGCAATCGCTGTCACTTTAAATAGAGACGTGCTTCTCTTTGTTTGGCTGAAAAACATTGCTTTAGGATTTAAGGCCCATGCACAACATGAACGATAACTATAACAATATCTATATTAGCGTTGACGCCAATGGGCGTTAACGTTCGGTTTATTTGAAGTAGTTTTGTCGTCTGCTGCTTTAAATGTTCGCACTCTTTGAATTCCGCTGGATTCTGATTGGCTGACAGTGTTTTTATCATTTATCGGGGGGGAAAAAAAATCGCTCGGAAAGTGATTCCAACAAACAACAATATCGTTCTTCTGTGTCGTTAACGTTATAGTTGTGGTGCGAATCTCCTTATTGTCATTGATTTAGGGGGCGTTTACTCGACACCATTTTCAGCTAAAAGGTTAGGGTTAGGGTTAGGGTGCGCTGCACGCAAAAAGAGCGCAAGTTCTTTCCGTTCCTGCACTTAGGGTTAACCCTAACCCTAACCCTAAATGCAGGAACGGAAAGAACTTGCGCCCTTTTTGCGTGCAGCGCACACGAAGTGCAAGCGCGAGCACAGAGAACAGAGGTCACGGTACGGGTTCCCGGTTTGTGTCTGTTCTCGAACCGTTCCGTGTATTTCCACTGTAGAAAAGGTTGTTCGAAACTGACTTCTTTCATATTTGTCGACCAATATGCAGAAAACTAGGTCAGTATATCATCATAAACACAGCCGTTTTTGTCTTGCGTAAACATATGAGAAAGAAAACACACATGTACAGTATTTTTAGATCTGTGTGCATTCGGTGTTAAAGAGACAGCAGCCTAATAAACGCGCTGCATGTCATTAATGTTAATCAAAGAACAAAAGAGAATCATTCACTGGTCTTGACTGAATATATTTAATAACTTGAATTGATTAATCTATATTTTATTTATGAAAAGAAAACTAAGCAGTGTTTTTAAACTTTTAATTACAGTTTCTGTACCTGAAATTTTGTTCAGCTGTATTTATGATATTGCTAATTGATTTGTTTGTTCCTATCTTATTACTGACTGTTTACTTTTCTTTAACACTTTAATATTTTAATTTTATATTAATCTAGTTGTTTTTGCTGTGGTATTTTTTTTAAAGCACAGGCAAAATTCCTCTTGCAGTGTTCTGCAGGCTGCTGATTTTTGCTCGTGTTATTCAGCTGCAACAGAATGCTTTGTAAAAAGTCAGAATAAATGTTTGACAATTTTTTTTTATCTTATTGGAATCGAAACTAGGAATCGATAAGAATCGGAATCGGAATCGATAAAATTCAAACGATACCCAACCCTAGTTCTGGGTGTCCATATACATGACAATGGAGTTTTGGTGCAAACTTTTGAAAATGGAGTTAAAGTGCAAATTTTTGAAAATGATACCATTAGGGCTGCACAATTAATCAAATTTGTAATCGCAATTACAATTATGGATGCCACAATTACGTAATCGTTCAAAGCGGCAATTAATCGTTCAAAGTCCACTTATGTTATTCTGCACACTTAACATATGTTTTTTTTTTCTACATGTTAGCTTAAAGGTTTTTCCATTGTTTTAGTATAGCATTATAATACCATTCATATTTTAACTTTTTTATAATTTAAAGAAGAAACCAATCCGATGTATATTTGACATTTGAGGCTTAATACTATAGAAAAGCACTAAAGGTTTTTCAGTGAGTGTGTTTTCAGCTTGTTTATTTTCATATAAAAATACGGCATGCAGTTGCATCAAACAATGGTATAAACATCAATGTAAATTGTGATAATCGTAATTAATTACAATTTCAAGGGAATAATCGACAATTATGATTTTTTGTCATAATCGTGCAACCTCCATGAAATCATGCGTGTGCGTATTACGTGTTCAGTCTATAGGAATGCGTATGTGTGCAGGCGCGTAGTGTTTCTTTACAGTGATGTCGCCATCTACTGGCCTGGCATGAATAATACAAAGTTTTTTTTGTCGTTTTCACGGATCCGTGTGAACAACATTGTCTGTATGCAAAACTCTTCAAAAATGCAAAGGAAAAAAATTTCCATTTTTATTACAGTTGTGATGTGTAAACGTATCCTTTGAACATTTTAACGCTGTCGCCCCTGGTGTAAACGTGCCTTTACTTTGAAACAGGTTTTACTCCGAAATTGCTAATAAATTTCACAAATAATTACAAAGTAACAATTTTCAAGTAGAAAAACTGAAATAGTATTTTCTTGCAAAATATACTTCAGTAATCTTTTGTTTTATTTACAAGTTACAACCAGTGTTATTATAACATCAATGAGATAGTATTAGTTTTTATTTTTACATTTTGTTTTCATTTTAGAATGAGTTAATTTTAAGTGTTTATATTAGTTTTTTTTGTCTTTTTAGTAGTATATTTATATACATAGACAAGTTTTCATTCATTTAATTTTAGTTTTAAATGTATTCCGTTTTAGTTTTTCTGTTGTTTTATTACATAGTTAACCAGTTAAAATGAGAAATGTTGCCATAGCAACAAGCTGAAATAATTTTAATTTTAATTTTTTTTTTATTTCAGTTAATGTTTATTTTATTTCAAGTCATGAAAATGGGATTTAATGATCTCAGTTTCAGTTTTAGTTAGGCTTATATATAATAACCCTATTTACAACTTCGAAAAATCTTTTCTTTTTTTTCTTTTTTACAGTGTAAGCTAAAAAAACCTTTCTACTAGATTTTTTTGGTGTCATTTCCCGACATTCATCTCAGAAGTAGTATCAAATCCTTGTAAATCAATAGAACAGATGTTTGGAGTGTTTGGGATGTGAGATGACAGCCTCCGCATCCTCTCCTCTCGCCCGGTCAACTTTTTCTCCTTTTCCGTTTCTCCATTCAGTTGCCATGGCAACAGTGTAATCTCACTCTTGTCTCCACAACAGCAATTTGCACCACTGTTTATGCCGGTGTTTTCGAGGAAGTACAGTATCTATAATTGATGCATGAATGCAACCTCGATGCAACTGAAATAAAGCGTGCCACACCTTGTCATCTCAGTAAATACACGACAGGTGTGAATACTAAATAATAGTGCATAATAATCCTGGTCTCGAGAGAACACACACCTTCTCTTGATGTCAAACTGCAGTGCACAGCACCCCCACCCCCCCCTCTCCACCCCACAACTGGAGTTGTCAAGCAGAAGGAACGCCATTAGACACATGCAGCATCAGCCTTGTTATGCTCTGACGTGCCTCCGCTTCACCGCCGACTTCTCCATCTCATCCTGTGGCCCACGGGGGGGACTGTTGTCGTGTTATCGATCGGCCGATTGCAGGAGAGGTTACAGAGGGGTTTCTTTTCTCCAAGGTGTGGCTGAACATCCTTCCTGTGGAGCGATTAGAGAGAGTGAAGGATGGTAAGGAGGTTGGGGTCTCTGGTGGCTTGTTGGAATACTGCGCGTGTTTGCGTTCTGGTGAGATGCAGGTTATGGTTACTTATGGTGACCGGGAATGTGATCAAAACAAAGGTGTCCATGTTGGGATGCTGCTGGTCGCGTGAGGCTGATCCTCTGGCAGCGTCGCTCGTACTGCGCTGGGTTTGTTTATGTGGACGTGACGTGAAAACGAGCTGTTTCATTATGAAACTGATGGATGATTATTTGACTTGCAGTTGTTTGGAGAGAAACACTGGACATGTGAAGTGAAATGTGCTTGTGTGTGTTTGTTTATGTTCTCAAATGTGCTGCTGGAATGCTTGTTTTTCTTGTTTTATGTTCTATATAGTGAAAGTGCCTTATGTAGAATATGGGGTTATTTATATGTGTGTGCGCGTGTGTGTGCATGTGCGCGCGTGTGTGTGTTTCAGTCTCTCCCTGCTGATTTCTGCATGGCGCTGCAGATATCTCTGCGTCGCAGCATCACCCTCCCTCAATGCAGCAGCAGAGAGAATGAGCGATAGACGCAAAGAAAAAGTGTGAAAGTTTGAAGCAGCCAACAGTCAAGGTTATTATTGTCAGTGAAAACTATTACAAAGATGAAAATGAGCAGTACAGCAAATATTTTCAAATAAAAACAAACACGTTTGCAAGCAAGCAAATTTTTCTTTTTTTCTTTTTGTTAAGCAAAAATGAAAACTATAAATGTGCGATAAAATACAAATGAAAACTGGAATTAAATGTTATTTATTATTTTCTTCATTAGTTTTTGTTGTTGTTGTTTTTTATTATTATTGTGGAGTAAAAATAAAAATAATTTAAAATTATTTTTTTTGTAGTTTTTCCATAATTCTTTCATAGTGTTTTTTGTTGTTTAAAAAAAAAAAACACTTGCAATTTATCGAAAAACTAAAAAAAATGTGTGTTTGTTGTTATTTTATTTTTATTGAGTAAAACAAAACCAACACAATTGTTTTTTTCAAGTAAAATAAAAACAAAACATTTGGAATTTTGCAAAAACTAAAAAAGTGTGCTAAAATCATTAATTTTTAGTTTTTCGTCATAGTTTATTGTATTTTTATTGAGTAAAACAAAAACAGAACAACAGTTTTTTTTAAGTAAAATCAAAAACAGAAACATTTGCAATTGAATGAAAAACAAAATATAAATGTGCACTAAAATGCAATCGAAAACAGAATAAAAACGGATGGGTTTTTTTCATTGTATTGTTGTTAAATAGAATAAAAACAACAAACAAATAAAAAGTAAATTGAGTTTGAAAAATTGGGAACAAATCATCTTTTTTTCTTTTTCACTCAATATTGGATGGACTGATTCAGTTAATCTCCCAAGCCTATTGTATTGTGCATTCTGTCAAAAAGAAGCGACCGTCTCATCATCATCAACCAGCCACAGTTCACATTTCATTATTAAAGGGATAATTCACCTAAAAAAAAATTGATATTGTGTCATCATTTACCCTGGTGTCATTTCAAACCTACTTTCTTCTGTGGAACATAAAATACAATATTCTGAATAATGTTTCTCCTGAAGTCAATGGGCATCAAAACCATTTAGTTCCAAACATTCTTCAAAATATCTTCTTTTGTGTTTCACAGAAAAATAGGAAGTCAGGTTTGAAATGACATGAGGGTGAGTAAATGTTGACAGAACTTTCATTTTTGGGTGAACTATCCCTTTAAGTATTGTTTGAGGAAAATGGAACAATTGGTGGTGTTGAGTTACAAGAAATAAAACCTTAAACTAATACTGAACCAAAAATGAATTATTTTACGAAGATACAGATGGAATACAAACTATATTTGAACCATTAAAACTACTCAAAAGTAAACAATAATTGAAATTGAAATTGAAAATAAAAACTAGGCCTAAGTAAAATTAAAGCTGGTTAAATTTCCAAATCTTTGCTTACTGGCACATGGCAGTTAGAGAAGAGCTTATCTTGATCATCTGCTGAACCTTAAAGGGATAGTTCACCCAAAAAAGAAAATGTGATGTTTATCTGCTTACCCCCAGGGCATCCAAGATGTAGGTGACTTTGTTTCTTCAGTAGAACACATTTGATGATTTTTTACTTTAACCGTTGCAGTCTATCGGTCATATAATGCATGGCAATGGTAACAAAATCTACGAGAGTAAAAAAAACATGCACAGACAAGTCCAAATTAAACCCTGCGGCTCGTGACGACACATTGATGTCCTAAGACACGAAACGATCGGTTTGTGCCAGAAACCAAACAGTATTTATATCGTTTTTTACCTCTAATACACCACCATGTCCAACTGTCTTTGGTCGCATGCACAGCATCCGGTGCGTGAGATGTGTACGCGCTCTGGCGTTACGTTAATGGGTGTGTTGATATCCAGCCGAAGAGCAATCAACCATAACTTCAGGCGAGCAGGCTCAGAAGTTGGGAATACGTGGAAAGTCACCACTCCCGAATGAGTTCGCGCGAGAGAACGTAATCTTTTAGTTTTAAGTCGGTTTGAACAATCCGGAAAAGCGCAAGTAAGTACCATTTTGATTAGCCGTCGTACCTACAATGACTGTGCACTGTGTAACCAATGAGTGACGTATACGCACGAGAGATCACTTCCGGCGCTTGTGTAAACTATGCCAAAGCACATACACACCTCACGCTCCGGATGACGTGCGCGCGTCCAAAGACAGTTGGACATAGTGGTGTATTAGAGGTAAAAAATTATATAAATACTGTTCGGTTTCTGGCACAAACCGATCGTTTCGTGTCTTAGGACATCAATGTGTCATCACGAGCCGCAGGGTTTAATTTGGATTTGTCTGTGCATGTTTTTTTTAACTCTCATAGATTTTGTTACCATTGCCATGCATTATACAACTGATAGACTGCAACGGCTGGAGTTAAAAATCATCATATGTGTTCTACTGAAGAAACAAAGCCACCTACATCTTGGATGCCCTGGGGGTAAGCAGATAAACATCAAATTAAAATTTTTGGATGAACTATCCCTTTAACCAGTCTTGGTTGTCTTCATTCGGCGTGCATCTCTGCTTAGACGCCCACTAACACGTCTTGTTGCAGTCAGCGAGAAGACGTCTTTTTTGAGGAAACTCATTACATGAAGGCCTTCTAGCAAAGGCATCAATTCTAAACTAACAGACTTTGTCACAGAGTGACATGTTTGTCCAGTTGGAGGAGAAAGGTTACCTCTTTCCAATTTCACTTTTGGTGTGGTTACCCTTCCATTAGTAAGAGAGAGGAGGAGGGAGCCAGTCAACGCTGTGTTTTATCTAGTGTGGCGGAGAGTAGAATACGACTCACATGAGCAATTTCGTTTGAGAATATTTGATGTTATGTTGCACTTTGATGATCTGGGCTTCCATTACACCTGAGCAGTGCCACAGGCTGATTGTCTCCATGCCACGCCGCACTGATGCAGTAATTCATGCAAAAGGAGCCCCTACCAAGTATTGAGTACATGTACAGTAAATGAACATACTTTCCAGAAGGCCAACAATTCACTAAAAATGTTTTTTTTATTGGTCTTATGAAGTATTCTAATTTGTTGAGATAGTGAATTGGTGGGTTTTTGTTAAATGTGAGCCAAAATCATCACAATTAAAAGAACCAAAGACTTAAACTACTTCAGTCTGTGTGCACTGAATTTATTTAATACACGAGTTTCACAATTTGAGTTGAATTACTGAAGTAAATGAACTTTTCCACGACATTCTAATTTATTGAGATGCACCTGTATGATACTTGTATGTGTTTTCACTTTTTTACAATGACAACCATAGCTCTGTCTGAATAAAATCATAATGCCAAACCTGTTTGTCTATGGAATGCAAAAGAAGAATTTGGACCCCATGACTTTTTAATGAACAGCTGAAACATTCTTCAAAATATCTTCTTTTGTGTTCCACAGAAGAAAGTCATACAGAATGAAATGGGGTGGATAAATGACAGAATTTGAAGGTGTGTATCCTTTTAGAATGAAACTGTTTCATTATAGTAACTATGGTAAACATGGTAAAGCATTTTTTACCTGTATTTTATGTTTTTCTGCAAGAAGGTTATTAGTGAAGGCTTTCTCTTCATAAGATTTTATAAATATTTGAACCCTCTGCAGTGCAAACGAGTATTTCCCTCATCCTCGATTGGCTCTTGGTTTAGTCTTTTGCTCTGCATAATGTAATGGAGTGAGCGGTTTGGAGATTGAAGCATTCAGAAGGTCACTGCATACTCAAGCAGTTCCTGCTCTTTCAGGCCTGATCAAAACATCACCCCACTCATCCAGCCATAGACAATCGCTCTCCTTCCTTCACACATGCCTTCCTCCAACACAGACGCACGTACACTGAATATATAAAACTGTGTTCAGTCTGCCAAGTGGAATATTTAGGCTAAATGTGCTTCTGCAATAACAAGATTATTGAAAAGACTATATATGATCCTTGCAGGCGAGGCTATAAATGGCACATTTTTTCCAGTCATGTTACATAATCTGTGTTGGTTCAGTTTCCTAACGTCACATCCTCTCTGGCTGTAACAGGGTCAGTATGAAATGGATCGCCTATTTCCGATCAAGATTTGATGAGCTAGAATCAGTATTGCCATTCATAAAATACATAACCATTAAATAAATATGAGCCTAGACTGAAATATGTTGGTGTAGAAACTATTTTCACTCAGAAATTGCTAGTAAATTTGACAAACAATTAAGAAAAACTATATATATATATATATATATATATTAGGTTTATTATTATTAGTTATTAGTTTTGTTCGATGTCTGTCATTTCGAAGCCAATGTAATGTCATAAGTTTTTCTTTAGTATTACTGTCTTTGCCTGACTATCGATCCGACCCTGTAGACGCCATAATCCCACTCGCTCTCTCTCGCACGAGCTTTATATTTTTTATTTATTAATTTTTTTAATGGTGGGCGTTACGTAGGGCTGGGCGATATAGCTAAAAAATGTATCAACGATATAATGTTTCATATCGTTCGGTATCGATAATTATTGACATTTTGATAACCTTTTTTTTTAAAACAAAAAGCAATAGAATTTTTTTTTTAAATTTAACCACTATATTTATAATTAACACAATTTATTGAGACAAACAACAAATATTTGTAGTTTTAACAATCAAACACAATAAAAAATTAAACGAATATCTAATTTCTAATGTTTTATATGCAGATTAAATAGGTCTGTATTGTATAGGTCTGATTGTCTCCCGAGGGCGCAATGAGCAAAATAATGCAGCGCATTTAGCAAGTAACTCTATAAAAATGTGCATTACGTCTAAATTAACTCATAAAAATCAAATATAATTTTGTAAATTGCATAAACAATTAGACTGCATTTAAAAACATATGAGACGCTGTGAAAAGGAATAAACCTCCACAAATTTGCGACATGTTTTTTTAAAAGTTTAAACTGTTTTAACTTTGCATGGCTTTCTATACATCTCTTCTGTGAGACGCGAGTACAGCAGTCATATTTGTCTGTCTAAAAAATGTGCTGAATATGCATCTGTGTGAATGGCTTGGTTTCGGTTTTAACCTAATCAAGATCTTCTCCACATTGAGCTTCTATTTTTCTCTAATATGTTGAATGAATAATGCAGCAGCAGCGCATCTCGTGGACTAGACTAACAAAACATTAAAATGAAACCACGTCACTCACATCATCATCACCGCATCTCGTGCGCCACTGATGACGCTTCCTGACGCACTCCTAACATTCAAATGCAAATGTTTATTTTTAATTCGACTAATATTCATTCTTTATTCACAATCTCCTCATCACAGGCAGGCACAGCACTCAATTCAGCATGTGTTCCTGTTTGTGTGTGCTGTCTACATCACTCATAGCACGTGCCTATATCGAACATTTTTTATATCGATATCGAAGATGTACCGTCGATAAATATTGATACCGTTTTATCGCCCAGGCCTAGCGTTACGCAGTTGGCTAGAGAAGTACTGATTGGGGAGAACGGTGGTGCGCTCACTCAATTGGTTAGTACTGCCACTCAAGGCTGGCAGTCATGCATTTGCGTTTGCTCTGGAACAGGCATATCACGTCCACATCGCAGGCTTTGCGATTAGTAAATCGCAACGTCTCAAATCGCGATTTTGGTTCGATTTCGATTAATCGCACAGCCCTAATTGCTAGTTATCCTACTCTATTAATTATCATAGCAGATGTGTTTACAGTACATTTTAAGCTAGCATTTATGGTCTATATTTGCATTGGTCCATTTGTTTTGTTTTGTTTTTGGACCGGTAAGAATAGCTGTCATGGTCACTGGCGATATATGAGAGGAGGCACTTGATGAATTTATTGAAGATTTTCATGTGACAGCAGATGCTGCTCGGGCTGCAGCTGGCTTTCATACTCCCTGACGCAGGTGGTTCCTGTTTCATTAGTGTCTTTAAGGCGAGAAACATATGCAAATGCAGACATGAATGCATGGGCAGTGAATTGCAAGTGCACTACATAACGTGTGTTTTTGCATTACTTTGGCCGTAACAAACCTCAATACTCAAGGAAACGATAAAGTTAGCTTTAAATGTTTGTGCCATTAATCTAGATGTGTTATTATTATTCAGATTGCTAGCTATAAACAGGTCATTTAATTAAGTTAATTTGCTAAGCAGTCTTCTCCTCACACTGTTGCTCAGCAATGACAGTAGTTGGTCTAAAAGAGAAAAATGACTGCAGAAGATGTTTACATTACTTTACAATAATGCATGTCATCAACGCTAAGAATGCAGCGCATACTTTGTTATGAGCTGTAGGTCTGACAGATTTCATAATATAACAGAATCACCCGGTCAGTGACAAATATCAGTGTCCACGATAAAGGCAAGGAAAAATAGTTTAAAAGAGCAATTTTAAAGAAATGTAGAGAAGTTTGTTTCGTATTGTTCAAAAAAAAAACTTTGGTAGCACTTTCCAGTACGGATCAATTTGTTAACATTAGTTAACATGAGCTAAGAATGAAAAATACGGTAACACTTTACTTGAAGGGGTGTGCATAAGACTGACATGACACCTTCATAATCATGACATGACACATGTCATGAATATGAAGGAGGTTTTATGCATGTTTATGACAGCTGTCATTAAGTGTCATTTGCTCAGTTATGTCATTTTTAATGCAAATATGACATTATTTGACCTAACCCTAACCTAACCCTACCCCTACCCTTACCCCTAACCATAGCCCATAACAAAGACATCTCAAACAATGTCATCTTTGCATTAAAAATGACATAACTGAGCGAATGACACTTAATGACAGTTGTCATAAACATGCATAAAAAACCTTCATATTCATGATATGTGTCATGTCATAATTATGTAGGTGTCATGCCATGATTATGAAGGTGTCATGTCAGTCTTATGCACACCCCTTCAAGTAAAGTGTAACCAAAAATACTTCTTAAGCATTTATTAATCTTAGTTAATATAAATGTCAACATTTCCTAATACATAATTAAAATCAAAATTTGTATCTGTTCATATTATTTTATGGATCCGAGCTAAAATTAACTAACAATGTTGTATTTTTATTACCTAATGTTAAGAGAGCTCAATAAACCCTGTAACAAATGTATTGCCAGTTAGTTAATGTTAATTAGTGCATTAACAAATGTTAACTAATGGAACGTTATTGCAAACTGTTACCAAAACTTTATACCGTTTGCAAGAAAAGTTTCAATTTAATGACTGTAAAATGTCAGGTGGTGTAACCATCAAGTAAATTGTAACAACAAATTTTCATTATTAATTATTATTTTCAAAAAATGTCTTAAAATATTTTTCAAGATAAAAATTATTTAAAAATTACACATCATGCATTATTAATTGATAAATATCGTAAACATATTAATAAGTTTTTGAGGAGTCGCTCCACATGACATTTTATAACCAACTAACCTTGATTCATCATAAAAAGATGAAATTATCTGATATTTTAAGAGACTTCTTGACTTTGACACTGTGATATAATATCCTTTTTTTTTTTTTTTTTTAGTTGTACCACATGACTTTGATTGGGTGAACTAAAGATTTTCAAAAATGAATTAGTGAATTAATTTCATTAAAATATAGTTGCATAGTCAAAATAGTAATTTACCCAACAATGTGTGATATTGAGGTTTTGTAGCTAGAACCGACACTTTTTTCCATTATTATTATTTTTTAACACACTCTTCTGACAGGGAATTTTTGCACATAAGTCAAAAAACAACAAGAAGGAACAAACTTGTTTTTGTCCTGCACAGTTTTTCCTTACAAGAAACAAGAAACAATGAATAAGGAACTGCCTGATGAAAGATTAAATGAGATGAACGTTTTTGATTGTTGACGAAGTGCTGTCTAAAATAAAACAATAAAAATCTGTTGCCTTTGTTTTTCCCCAGACACCATGTGCACCTTGATGTCTCTTTGTGACCCGCGTCAGTGATTTTATCACTGATCCACTGTCTGCATTGGTTGTCGTTGTGTGCAACCCTCATCCAGAGAGGAGTTCTGGGCACCTCCATGGCAGGGGAGAAGGGCTGTCGCAGTGCCATGGATATCAAGCGGCTAGCGGGCCTTCTGCAGCGTGGAGCCGGGCGATTGCTGGTCATCGACAGCCGGACTTTCTCGGAGTACAATGCCTCGCATGTGCACGGCGCCGTCAACGTCTGCTGCTCCAAACTGGTCAAGAGGAGGCTTCAGCAGGACAAGGTGTCAGTTACCGAGCTCCTCCAACCCAACGGAAAGGTCAAGGTATCAAGTGTGTTTTTGAGAGAGTGTGTGGCTAATTTATATAATCGAGAACTATTGGAACTATTGGTGGCATCAAAAAGGAGGTTGATGTCTGTATGCGGACAGCTGTGAGCCTTTGAAGGGTTCAATTTACAATGCTGATAGTTTTGTGTGGACTTCACAACCGTGTCGCTACACAATATTGTAATGAACTAATGTTTACTTGTGAACACCCATTAAAGAGTCCCAGTTTTGGCACCAACGTGCAACATCTGCAGTCAAATTTATATGCACGTTTAGTATTTGACACTTCCTCATGTAAAATGAGTTTGTAATTAGGTGTAGTAGTCAGTTTGAAGTTGAAGAAAATGTTTGAGAGGGTTAGATTGGATCAAGGATCTTTGGCTAGCAGCTAGCATTTCTAAATTTGGAGGACCATTATAGGTTTATTGGTTATCAGAGTCTCTGAAATTGGAGACTTGAGTTTTCCATGACTTCTACATCGAATATGACATAATTTTTCCCACCCGACTGGCATGCCAAGTCTTTATATTTTTAGGTACTCTGTGAAACTGACAGAACTCCAACCACTCACAGATGTCACATAAAACTCCATGCCACAGCTGATGAGGTCAATGTCGAAAACCGATCCGCCTTTATTGCGCACCTCGCTTTCTGAAAAAATCACGCCACATGGGGAATGCAGTGCGATTTTCAGGCACACCACTAATGAAAACTGAAAGCCAACACTGCAAAGACACGGTCTCAGACACAATGCTCTGTTTTTGAGGGCATATATTCTTGTCTTTGTGATTCTTGGTTCATGAGATCAATTTTGACGAGTGAGCGACCTGCCATGCATGCGGTTCACCTTGTGGTTTTCCGGGTTTTTATTAATTAAATTTTTATTTTTTTAACTGCAGCTGTGAGTTGTCATTCCCTCCATTTTTGCAATAAAAATAGATGGCAATTTGTAAAATGTAAACTGTTGTTGGGTTTGCAGGAAATGACTTCTGAACCCATTTCTAACTGTTTATCAGATGCTAATGTTTGTCCTATCTGTTAATTTACACAATTCTCACATACAAACTTATTCAGCACCTCTTGATATTTCGGGTAGCCTACCTCTTTTAAAGCAGCATACAAAATTATCTTTTTTCATTAAATTTTATAAAAAAAACAAAAACAGTAATATCACTGTTACTGATCTTCTCAGCTCTGGGCCTTTGTGTGCTATTTGTTTCCAAAAAATGGGCACTTTGATCCCGATCTGCTGGCCAAAACCAGTTCCATCTGAACTTAACAGAGTGGCACTGTTTTCTTGGGTCACTCTTTCTCTGCATTTCCCATTTCTTTCCATAGCCCAGCCTAGAGGCTGTGTGGCTTTTATTATCTCCCTCACTAAAGAGGATAACGCTCGTGATTAATGCAAGTCCTGGATAAAGCTGGAGCTATCTGGGTGTAAGTGGGGGGAGGTGGGATGGGGTGAATTCTGGAAACTCTTTGTTATTGGATGAGCATGACATCATAAGCTTTAGTGTGGCCACTGGCAGAGCGCTTGCTGAGCACGTGCACATCGTCTACACGACTAGTGCAGGATCTAGACAAAACCCTACCCCCTTCATCTCCCCCACTGCTTTGGACAGCTGCCATTGCCAGAAGTTGCGGCATCAATGTGTGAGCTGAAAGTAACGACATCACCGAAACCAAAGGCCACCAGTGTGGTCCATTGTGAGTGCGAATAAAGAAAGGAAGTGAAAGAGGGTATTAATGGATGAGCAGCACACATCCACACTGAGATAATGCCGAGGTCCCCCGTGGCTCTGTGTTCGGCCCATTTCAGATTACATCAGTGGAAGGCACCATATGCACCGATTGCCTGACATGCATTGTAAATGGGTCAGTGTTAAGTGCAGTAGATAGAGTGCAGTGGTACAGGAGCAGGACTTCCTCTGTAGCCACGAACAGTCTTGGCTTATGGTAATCTGTGCTGCTGAATGTTCCATTGAGCTGGTACTGACAGATGGCTATGCAGTCGCCCAGAGCGAAGACAGCCGAATAGGCAGATCTTAAGGTTGTACGGATTGCACAAAGACAGGAAGCTTATTCTCAAGGCCTTTATCTTGTACTTTTTGTAGAACATCACCTTTTTTAAAATTTCACTCTGAAATGAATAGGGTTGTATATTTTCCAAAGAAAACGTCAATGGTGCTTGTCCGTGCAAAACTCGTCGGCATGATAATAGGGTGACGCAAGGCGTTGCTATGTGGTGCTAGTGTTGTCAGTGGGAGTTGCTAGCTTGTTGTGGGTAGTGACTAAATCAAATGAGCCTACTCTCAAGTCTATGATATTTTGATGCCATTTTTTTGCATGGGTTCCTTTTTAAATATAAGTCTTTGGGATATTTTTTGACTGTTGTCCCCTAAAATCTAGAGGTCTCTTCAGTTCCCAAACCTTAAGTATGAGCAATATGGTTTTGCTTAAAAAAAGTTTTAGTAGTTAAATTTGGGTCATTGAGCAATTGAAATCAGTATATGATGTTCAGAAACTGAAAGGTTTTTTTTTTTTCAAACATTTCAGTGCACCTGCAAACTTTAATTAAAATCAAACTCTTTCCAGTTTTATTTACAAATTGATCAATTCAGCATCATGGAAAAAGGAAGCAAAATTATAGGAATCCAAAAATGGGTATATATTGGATAATGTGATTGCTTCTGGTTTAAAAATGGTTTAAAGAAAAATAATTTTCAGTAATATTATTAATATAATTGCACTGACATTATTGAATAAGAACACAATTTGAACTAAATTGAGTTGGATAATGACACTAACTTTGGAACATGGATATTTATAATAATAACTATTAGGCTATACATTATACAGTACATTATGTATTTCTAATTTGAAAAAAAAGCTAAATATTATACATTATATTGTATATTTTATTATTGTCTAAATTAATCAATAAAATGATAGATATTATGCAGTATACAGTATAGTATGTATTTATTGTCTAAAATAATAAATACAATGAGATATTATGCAGTATACAGTATAGTATGTATTTATTGTCTAAAATAATAAATACAATGAGATATTATGCAGTATACAGTATAGTATGTATTTATTGTCTAAAATAATAAATATACATTACACAGGCCATTATATATTTATTGTCTGAAATAATTATTAAATAATAGATATAATTATACAGTACATTATATGCTTATTACCTAAAATAATTCATAAATAAAATAATATATAAAGATATTATACTGTATACAGTACTTTGTTTATTGCCTAAGATGATTAATAAAATAATACATATTAGTCGTTTCCTGTCCTGTAATTTTCTACATAGGTTTTTATGTGAAAAATGACTCCTATGTTGTTGACTATGTCCTGATGCGCCTACTGAACGTGTGAAGGGACAGAGGACATACTTGTCAACAAGTTAAATTCTAACAAATGAGGCAGGCGAGAAGTGAATGGCACTGGTCAGACGTTCTCAGGATACATGTGTCCACACAGGCCCCCGACAGGAGGTGACACAAATAGAAATCGAACGTGCCATTTCTTAAATCCTGAAGTTACAGCATGTAAATGATCTGGATGTGTTCCAGATCTCTGCAGTGACCTTGGGACCATCCTGTGGTTCTTGGAAAATGTAGCTATTTGACACGGTCGTCTTTGTGGCACCTAACTATTACTGATCCTCTCCATGGCTTGGTTTAGTATTAAGTGGGTACCTAATTACAACCCCATAGCATTTGCTGACAGGATTTTCGAAGTGTCTCTGGCTATGTTCGAAATAGCATATTACCATACTATTTTTATTATTTCTTGAGTGTGCAATATGTACTGTATACTATTCACATTGTGTACATTTCTGTAAGCATTAAATACCAGAATGAAAACAACAATAGTACAGTTGTAATTTAATGCAACTCTATTTATTATAGTTCCAATAGTTGCACTCTTGCAATTTTATCTGAGTGAAAAGTTGTGTAAAAATATTTAATATATTGTATATTTATTTTATATATTACACACTACATTATATAATTTAATGGATAAATAATGATGAATAAATGATACATAATATATAATATACTGTAAATTAGCCTGTATATTTATTGTCTAAAATCATAAATATTATGCATTATACAGGCCATTAAATATTTGCTTTCTTAAAATCAATATACATTATGGTGTACATTGTTTATTGTCTTGTACAATAAATTGTTTGTTGTCATGCATTATATAGTAAATTACATATTTATTGTCTAAAATAATTAATAAATACAATTATAGATATTGTACATCATAAAGTGCATTGTGTTTGTCTAAAATAATTAATAAAAAAAGTATTATACTATATACAGTACAGTACGTTTTTCTGAAATAATAAATTAATAGATATGACATATTATACAGTATATATTGTCTAAAACAATTAAGTACTTAATACTGTACATTATACAGGTCATAATATGATTATCTGAAATAATTAAATAAAATAATAGATATTATACACTATACAGTACATCGTTTATTGTTTAAAATGATTAATAAATAAAATACTATATATTATACAGCACATTATATATGTTTTGTCTAAAATAATAAAATGATAAATATTATGAATGAATAAATGAATGAATTAGGGTTGCAAAGGGGTGGAAAATTTCCGGAAACTTTCCATGGGAACGTCGTCTGGGGAATTTTGGAAATATTCCAAGTTTAAAACTTACCAGGAATTTATGGGAATTTACGGAGATTTTGGGGAATTTATGGGAATTCATTGGAAATTTGGGGAAATTTATAAAACTGTTATATACAAATAAAAATATAAACATTTTGTTTGACCATAGGCTCCAATACAATACTATCTAAATCTAATACTAATACAAATTTATTTTATAGGGGGGGGGGGGAAATCCGGGATGCTTTTTTCAGGTTTTTTTGTTGAATGAAAACTAGGGCTGAACGATTAATTGGATGCCATTATCATGCGCATC